CAGGACGAAGAGCGCGAGACGTCGTTTGCGTTCCGGAAAGAGATTCGCGATGTCGAAACATCACCAGCCACCGCGCCGGTCGCTTCAACACAATCAGGGAGCGAGGAGGTAGTTGAAGAGGTTGCTGCTGTTGAAGAAGCAGTCGGAGGCACGTCCAATCCAGCAAAGAGTGGGAGGAAGAGTCGTTCGTCGGGCGAAGCTGTTGAGGTGGAGCCTCGCAAGAAGGCGCGGCGTAGCGAAGCACCCCTCGACGAAAACGTTCGATTGGACCGACTACGCCAGGCACTCTTCCGCTTCCTGGATCTGATCGAACACAGGGCTACGGCGAGTAGCTTTGCGAAAGCGTTGCCGCACATTGACGTCGAGTCGGTGGAAGCGCTACGCATGCAATTCGTCAGCCAGCTCAAAGAGGCGATCATCGACGAGAGCGAGAAACTGATCGAGTCCAACGAGCTCGAAGCCAAGCTGGCTTCGCTACACCGACTTGCGCACGAGGCAGACGCGAGGTTCCATGCAGGCTACGCCGAGGGAGCGGAAGAGCTGAAGGACGTCTGGCGAAAAGAACTCGACCTCGATACCGCCATCTCGGCCCGTGCCATCCCAGACCAGCAACGAAGGGTCAACCAGCTCAAGCAGGAACTCGACCAAGTCAGAAAGCAGAACAACGACATTCACGCAACACTGCTCCAGACCCAGAAGAGGGCCAATGCTATTCAGCAAGATGCAAGAGAGTCTCTCAACGCTCTGGAATCGGTAAGCAGCCCGCATGCCCATAGCAACGAGATACGCACTAACACTCGCTTTGTGGCTTTGTATCACAGGCAATCAAGGGTCTGGAAGCAACGCCAGAGATGCAGAACCAGCTGCGCCAAACTATGGACGACCTCCTACACGATCTTGGGGCGCGCGTCTGATTCGCGCCTTGCTGCTTTTGCGCCGCATCTGTACCTCTACGAACACCTGGCTTTCAGCCGCTGAACGATCATTGTCACCCGCGAACTGTGTTCCAGACAGTGTATGATTTCAGATTGACCGCGATCCGGCGGCGTTGGCCGTAGCCGGTGTGGGTGATTACATGCTGCGCTCGCCGCGCGTGTTGAACGACAGCGCGCGCGCAGGGTATAGCAGTGTGTTTCCGACGGCCCTCGTTGTTCAAACCTGTCTGCCGTTTTTCCTGTCTTGGTCCTCCTCTTCGCGGCTTGGCGGTCGGATATCGCCGAGGCGCTCACCGACCTTGATCTTCTGGTCCGGCTTGAGGTCGAAGCGGAAGTCGCTCGGCGCCTCGAAGACGAGCACGATGGTCGATCCGAGCAGGAAGCCGCCCATCTCATCGCCCGCGCCCAGCGGTTGGCCACCAAGCAGCTTGCTGGCGCCCGAGTACGACGCCTCGGAGTACGTGCCCGCCAGGTAGCGCTGCATGCGCACATTGGTGCGCAGCGCCTTGTCAAAGTTGATGCGGATCGAACCCACGTTGGTCGCGCCCACGGGGACCATGCCGAAGAAGCCGTGGCGCCAGCGACCCAGCAGCGCCACGCGCTCGTTGAGCACAAACAGGTTCGACAGCCGGTTGGCCATGTACGGCGACACCGAGTAGAGCTCACCGCGGAAGTGGCGGCGGCGCTCGGCGACCCAGTTGGTCGGGCTATGGAAGCGGTGGTAGTCGCCCGGGGCGAGGTAGATGACGCAGAAGAAGAGCTTGTTGCCCTCCTTGAGTCCCTTCTGTCCCGGCGAGTGCGGCTGCAGCAGCGGCGGAAGCGCACCCACACCCATCTCGTATGCGACATTGGCGTAGCGTCCCAGCACTTCGGGCGTGTCCGGCTCCGGCATGCCGGCATCGTCGATCTGCTTGGGCTGTTTCTTAGTCGCTGCGTCTGCGCTGCCCTCGTCGCCGTCGTCTGCATCCGCATCGGCGGCGCTGTCAAAGTCGGTTGGCTTGGCAGAAGGCGCCACGTCGGTCGCGGTGGCTGGATCGGATGGCGCACGCTTCACCCACGACTTCCAGTAGGACGCCTTGACGAATCGGGTCCATTTCGACTTGCGCTTCTTCACCTCGTCCGGGTCGGGCATGGCCGATTTGCTCTTTTCGTCGCCGAGCAGCTCGTCAAGCGTATAGTCGATGCCGTTGACGGAGGCAAACTGGCGATCGTCGATGCGAGCATGCTGTGACTCCTCCTCCGACTTGCCCACCACGCTCTCTGTGGCCTCGGGCGCACTCGTCACGCCTAACAAGGCATCGAGCGAGTAGGTGATGCCCTTGACCTGCTCGACGCGTCGGCCGGCGATCTCGCCAAAGTGGAGCACCTTGCCGTCAGCTGGCGAGACGAGAATGCTGTCGTCGATTTTGCGCGCGCCCTCCTTGAGCTCGCGGTAGAAGAACTCGCCGAGACTCTTGTAGTGTGTCAGGTCCGGATCCTTCATCTCATCCAGGTTGCAGCCAAAGATGTACGCGTAGAGCTTGAAGCCGAAAGGACGGAACCAGACCGGAAGCGTCAGGTTGTTCGCCCAGCCCCAGGCGCGCGAGATGGCATTGAGCGGAAGCGCGCCGATCACGTAGACGGTCCATGGCCCCTGCATCCTGACTACCTGGCCATTCTCGTCGACAATCTTGGTTCCCACGCCCTTGCCGTCACGCTCGGCAACGTAGTTTCTACGCGCCTGCACACCGACCAGAACCACGGCGCCGAGAAGGATGGGGATCGGGTACCACTTGATCTGCGTACCTGTCCATGACTTGGACAGCTTTTCTGTTGGTCGGAGATGGGCAGAGACGCGATGCAAGGTCAGACGGTTGCTGCCGGATCAGAGACAGTGGCAAGATTTGCGGACCACTCACCTTGATACGAATCTTTGTGTCCATCCTGCTTTCCTCCTTGTTGCTGTTTGGCCTGTTCCTCGGACTTAATTCGAGCTGCGCGGTGGCCGCGGACGGTGTTGGCTTCGTGCTCGGCCTGGAGCGGGTCGCGGCTGTAGAAGCGTCGCGAGAGGATTGCAGGTGCTTGGTGCGCCAAGGCCGGCTTCCTCGCAAGCGCGACAGTCCTGAGCGTGTGTTGGGTAGCAGACCTGGTCAAAAGCGAAGAAGTGGCGAGCCCAGCATCGGACCGCGCGAGGGAGCGCAGCATGGCGGCTGGGTCGCGATTCCTCAACAGAGTTGCGCGCATGTGCGAAGGACTCTGGTCGCGTGCGAGCGATCAATATCGTTTGCCAATGGACGATGCTGATGCGGACGGCGAAGCGTGCTCGTGGATTGAAAGAGAGGCAGATGCAGCTGCACGCACGCTGGAAGAACCGCTGGAAGGGTGAGAGCGTGGCGCGACCGCCAGCCCGGCGCTTTCAAATTGTCCAAGAGTTGAGGCACATGTGACAGAGCAATTTTGAGAGTTGCGTTGCACCCGCGTCATTCGGCTCGCTCTCGCTGCCCGATATCTAACCGATCTCAGGCGGGCTTCCATGCACCGCGCAGCAACCGAATCACACGCCTCGAAACTAAGCACAATGACGGATTTGCAGCTTCCCTCTTCACTCGCCTCATCACAAGCAGCCGAGGTTAGTGGACTGGTCCGGTATCAAGAGTAGATTGGTTTGGACATCCGCATACGAGATAGCTCGGACGAACAATCTGGGGTAAGATACGGCAGGAAACAGAGCAGGCGCCGAGGGCGGGTCACACGCGGTTCTAGCTGGGCGGCGTCCTCACTGAGTGGCGCCATACTGGGGAGGGGGAGGCTGGTACACGACGGGCTGGTCCTGCTTTGGAATCCACTCGCCGTTGCCCGTGTAGCGCACCTGCCCGCCGTAGCGCTCTTCGGCCTTCATCTTCTTGTAGATGAGCCAGACTGTAGAAAGCGAGGGTGACAAGACGGGGATCCGGTCAGCCGAGCCACGGTGCCACGCGAAGCAACTTCTTTGGACTCACATGCATGGATGTGTCCGGGAAGGTATCTGTGATGCATCAATAGTCGTAAAGCGGACAGAATGGAGCAGTCAGTACAATCCAGTCCGCAAAAGGGAGCAGAGAGAGCGATTTGGCGCTGTCGACCAAGGTCAGGATACTAACCCGAGCAGAGTGAGCAGGATGTTGATCATCAGGTCGCAGGAGCACTGTACTCGACGGAATCGGCGGCGAATTGGAAGCGGTAAGTCTTTGTATACCCCAGCCGTGCCAGATATCTGCACGAGAACTTACTCCTGTGATGAATGCCACCGCGGCAGGCGGGAAGATAAGCGCCACTAATGTCGTCGTCGGGCGCAATCAAGCACAGAGCCAAGCGAAGATGTACAGCATCAACAGGCGTCAGTTTCTGAGCCTTCGAAGACGTGCCGTGCTTCGCGCAAGCCTCGTGTGTTTGCCTCTACTCACCGAGGATGAGGATGATGTCCGCACCGCTAGACATGATGAGGAGCGTCAATGGAGCGTCGAGGTTCGAGTTGTTGGTCGTGACAGGTAAGATGGCTCGAAAGCAGGAAAGAGGGTGACGGTGATTGGACGTGTCGACTCGATACGATCAGATATTTGGCGACGATGGTGCAGGTGAGGAGGTACGGTGTGTACGTGCGGCGCCACGAAATTTGAGGGGCCTGCCATGCCACACTTCGGCATGCTGCGCACCAGCTCGCCCAAAAGCTGAGGATGTGGAGGCGGTGCAGCCATCGAATCGGCCGAGTCTCATCGGGGGCGTCTGGTGCCTCATCGGGAACGGCCATCTTCCCCGCATTTTCCGACTTTTTTGCCGGCTCAAGAAGGCCGGCGACCGGCCCAAGTTGAAGTGTTGGTCTTGACCGCATGGTCCAAGCGGCGCTTCGTGGCTTCCCCACACGCTGCTTGCCGAACAGCATATAGCATCGCCACCACCTCAACAGGGAGACGCCCGAGCTGCCGAAGCTTTCTCAGACACTTTCCATCCCATCTTGTCTCATCGCGCGTCCACCTCTTTGACTATTCGATCCACGGCCCGCACCGAACAGTCTCGTCTTTGAAACGCCACAGCAACATCCGCATCGCCATGTCGAGCTCGACTCTGACCATGCCCAAGGTGGGCGCGCATCTGATCCTCACCACGCCTGCCAAGCACGTGCTCCAGATGACGCTCAACCGACCCAAGCAGCTCAATGCCATGACCGATGCCATGGAGGAGGACATCTGCCGCGTCTTTGACTGGTTCGAGTCCGAGCCTTCGCTGTGGGTCATCATCCTTGCTGGAAAGGGCAGAGCCTTCTGCGCCGGTCAGGACCTCAAGGACTGGCTCAACAAGAACCAGACCTCCGACACTGTGCGTCATGCGACGGGAGAGCCCATGCAGTCCGACGCTGAGGTCGACAAGTCGCTTCAGCGCCTCAAGCGCGGCGGTTTTGGAGGCATGAGCACTCGCAGAAGCGCCAAGCCCATCATCGCAGCCGTCGACGGCATCTGCATGGGAGGCGGCACGGAGACCATCCTCAACTGCGACATGGTCGTCGCTAGCACCCGCTCCGTCATCGGCTTGCCCGAAGTCGCCAGAGGCGTCGTCGCCGCCATGGGAGGCATTCCTCGTCTCACGCAGCTGTGCGGACATGTAAGTCCAATTTGTCTCGTTTCAAGACCGACGCAAGGACGCTTTTTGCTGACCTCCTCTTCTCCGCTTGTCTCACCGCTCACGACTACTAGCAACGAGCCTCGGAGCTTCTGTTGCTCGGAAAGCCCATTAGCGCCAAAGAGGCGCACGACCGATACAACATGGTCAACCGCCTGGTCGAGGTGGCCAAGTCCACCTCGGAGGAGCTCGGCCAAGCCGCTGTGGATCAGGCTGCCATCGAACTGGCAGTGCAGCTCACGCAGAACAGCCCGGACAGCGTGCTGGTAACCAAGTCGGCTCTCGTCATGGCTCGCGACGCTGCAGGCGGCGACATTGACGACTCTGCGCGCGACAACATGCTTTCTGACCGCAGCAAGCTGCTGTATGTGGGCAAGAACATCAACGAAGGCCTTGAAGCGTTCAAAGGGGTAAGTCGCAGACCACACGACCAGCTACACGGATCCATAGTTTGCTCATGCTGATCCGTCTCCTCGCTTTCTCACTTTGTACCTCGATGGCACGCAGAAACGCGACCCCAAGTGGTTCAACCCCGTGCCTCTTGCCGCTCCGACTGGTCAGCCCACATCGAAGCTTTGATCTCGCACAGCTCTCGCACCTTGACTTCATTTTTGTGTCATGTTCGACCTTCTCGCTGGCTCGGTGTTCCATTGAAGAGCGCGGTCTCTTTCGAGTCGGAGAGTGTTTATACGTATAATTGTGCAATCAGCCCATGTCTTTCGACATTACGATCTGCCTCGACAGCCACCGACGAGCACCTGTGTTGCTTTCCCCAGCTCACAGTCGATACTGGCCGCGGTCTCAGTCGTTTCGTGAGAGTCTTGTTCGAATTCTGGGCCCTCGCAAGCAGGCGGAGAGCCTAGGCGCAGGAGGCAGCTCGTCGAGAAGGAAGCTTGTCCGTCATGTCTTGATCTCGACTGTCAACGCCATCATCGCACAGTGTCATCGGACGATTGGACAACGCCGATCCACCCCACCGCGATAGCAGGTTCAAACGCGTGCCGCGATTTCCTGCTGCGACTGGCGCTCGTCATTTTTTTCTCCGCGCCCCGTCACCCACTGATTTGTTATCGAAAGCGGAGTCGCACCTCGCCATCTTTCACGCTTGTCGTACTCATCGCGGCGATGAATATGGCAACCCAGGCAAAGCCAGAAACGAGCTTCAGACACGTCCGACATCGGCTACGAGGGCGGGTCGAGAAAAGGACGGCTCGCAGCGGGGCGTGCCTGAAACTGCAGCTTGGCAGAAGCGAGACGGCGGGAAAAACAGAATCGCGGCTGGAAGCGAACCGACCGACGCACGTTGCACCACACGCGAGACCGAGACTGCTTGCTTGTGCGTCTTTCTGTACAGCTTCGGTACCGTAGTGGATGGCGCAGGACCGAAGAAGTACAGGTGCATCGGTCTCGGCAAGCCAAGGGATCGCCGGGAGTAACCGTTCATGCACCACGGTACAGCTCGACGAGGCGTGCCGACAAGTGGTACAGCATCCGCGAGTTCATTGGACAAAAGAGGCCGCTGCACTGCGACATCGCTTGGCGCGAGCGTCTCGAGAGGGCGGTTCGCTGTGCCTGCGCCTGACCCTGAATTTGCACAAGCGAGCGCTGTCCTGTCCCTGGTTTTGCGCCAGCGAGCTCTGCTCGGATCAGCTCGTACAGCCCTGTGCAGGCTGTCTTGCACGCTGGGTGATGCCACGCGGATGCAAGCAAACGTGGGTGTGGCGGTCCGAGCGCCGCCGACCATGCACGGCAGGTACGGATGGACGCCTCCGCGATCGCATCCTCGGGTCCGCTGTTCGTGACATGTTTCAGTCGTCCCAAGTCGGTCGTGCAAGAGATTGCCGCGATAAGAGCGCGCCCGTGTGGGAGCTGACGGGCCAACTGTCAAAGAGTGGCCATGACATGCCAATTTTCGAGCATGAAGCCGAATGCCAGCGCACCTTCGGCCTGTCCTACGCGAACCTGCGTTCGCATGCATGCTTGGATCGGTCGCGTTGGGTCTCCGACAATTTCGCGCGGTAGAATGGGGCTCACCGCTCCTCGTCGGAGCGGCCCTTGCGTTGACCCTCTTCAGTGATCCTGACGGACCGCTTCGACCCAGTGATCATCCTCGGCCTAGATCGGTCCATCCAGTGGTCACTTTGGAATTGCCAAGCTTGAGCAAAAATTGTGTTGCCTCCGTTGTGCGCATGGTGCAGTGACCGGAGAATCTCGACAGGAACGACATTGGTGCATGGACGTGTGCAAGACTGCTGGCATGGGTCTCCCTCTACCTGTACAGATTCCCACTGACTCCGAATCGTGGAGCATCGAACGGATCGCCATGGTCGGAACAGTGACAATGCTTCTTTCGGTCCACTCCGAAGCACCGTGGGATTCGGGGCCGTGTGTATCGTGGCCCGGGCGAAAATCAAAAATGGAAAAGCTAAGAGAGCAAGACGGTCCCACGCTCGGTCTGGCGGGGAAGAGCGAGACAGGGGCCGGTTGCAATGTCGCAACTGGGAAGCAGCCATGCGTGAGAAACTGATGAATTTCGCAGGCTCCGCCGCTCTTTTTGTGCAGGCTGCCACTCGCCTTCTCCGACGTGCTGCCTCTCGAGGGTCCGCAAGCTGTGGTGTGCAATCGCGCTGTGCAGCCTTGACCGCTCACTCACACGCGTCGGCATGCAACTGCAGGCAGCACGCTGCGGAGCGGTGATCCAACACCCACGTTGGCTTGCGGCCGGCGAAACGGAGTAGCGACGACCCCGCCAGCCCTCGGAAGAGAAACCCGAAAGAGGCTGGCGAGCCAGGTAGCGTGGTGGCGCCTGCAAACTGCATCGGGCGATCATCAAGCTTGCACGAAGTATTGAAAGCCGGGAGGAGGAGCTTCAAAGCACGCGCCCTTGTCACCGTTAGCTAGACACCGCAGATCGCCGATTCCCTTTGCGGTGCCCACGAAGCCTTTGCGGTGCACGTGAACCTGTCGCGATTCGCGGTTCGCCCTGTACCAAGGGCATCTGTTCCGGTCGCAATGCCACCGATCGTCGACTGGTCTGGGTGCTTTGCATTGTCCTTCGCCGTTGTCTGGCTGGACATGAAAGATACGCTTGGCGCTTGGTGCTTTGCCCTTCCTCGAGCTCTTTTCCGGTTGTGTGCCTGCCACTGTAATGACTTTGCCTACTCACTGCGTGCGTAGATGACTACCGCACCAGCAGGCGTGCCGTCGAAAGTGGGGCATAAGGCGACTCCGGATGACAGCGACGCTGTGGAACCACCTGCACGACTTTTTCGCACATCTAACGGCCCGGGCCGCCCTGATCTCGTCTCTGCGGCGGCTGAGGTGCCGCGAGCCAGACCCGTTGCGGAGCCTTTCTCGCGCGTTGATGCAGAAGCGCCCGGCTAGCTCGGGCCAACATTGGGAAGCAGTATGCCAAGAACGAGCTATTGTTGTATTGCTGCTGATGCTTCTGGCGTGCAGAATCCCGATCTGAGCGCTAGCCCTTCAGCTTGAGTCGTATGTGGTTCGCGAGCGGAGTTGCGGATCTTCGGCTGCGCGTTGCAGTCTTGCCAGACCCATGGGAACGAGAAGGGCAACGCGAAAGGGCGAAGTGACCCCCACTTTTCTAAAATTTGACTGCTTGGGTCAGCCTTGGACAATTGCCAGCTTGGAGAGGCACGCCATTGTGTGCGGGTCTGCGGATTGGATGTCCGCGCGAGCGAGCCGCAGACCCACCGCCTCGTGGTTGGTTCCAGGAACCACTGATGCCATTGTACACCTTGCTACCCGCCCCGCAGCATAGCCGGACCCCGGAGCTAGTGAGTGGGACGGGGATCGTGACCGGTGTGGGGCAATCCAGGCGAGCACAGATCTTGCTGGATGGGACAGCTTGAGGGTATGGAGTTCTTCCCGGTCGAGTGTTGGTCTCAGGTCGTCGCGGGGCGGGGGTTTTTTCGGCCACTTTTTTTTCGCTCGATTTTCAACGAGTGAGGTGATCTTTTGTTGCAGGGCGGAATCGAAGTCGCTGTCTCGGTTGGCCTTGTCCTGTATCCAAAATCGGCAAGCGAGCCTGTCGGTGACATCGACAGGGGCAGCACGCACCAGGAAGCACAATCCTCGGCTCCATCCAGCACTGATATCGGTTGACGTGTACGAGACACAGTCGACTCAGCCCGCCCTTGTCGCGAACAGGGAATCGGCTTGGGACCGGAAGAATGAGTGAATCGAGTCTGGCAGGCCGTTTGGCATCGGTTCAGGGGCCCGATCTATACCACGAGGGGAATGACAGAGGAATGGATCGCCCGATGACAGCTGGCGTCGGGTGGCAATTCCAGCATGGATAGCCGCCCGAATTCCCACGATTTTGCATGAGCATGAATTTCGGCTCGGGCAGAGCTGCACAGCACAGAGGGCTGGACCTGCAAAGCCACCTGCAGCGGCTGTCCGTTGTTGACCGAGGCGACCGAGCTCGCCTAGCGTGCATTGCATACAAGAAGCCACCCGAGGAGCGGCAACCTTGTGCACTGGGATGCGCGGTGGCCGGCGATTCTGTCGTTGCCGATGCCTAGCACACAGGTTTTGGCGAGGATCAAGCAGCCTATCGGCGATCCAAAGACTCGAGTAAGACGATTGCAGCAGTGTCACGAGCGGCACCAAGATCGAGCGGCCGCACGATGCGACTCGCTGAGCGTCGCAGCCCGGCTCCAACCACGAAGCGGAGCAGAGGCCGGGGACGGAGACGCGAACGCTCTCACACTGAGCAGAAGCAAAGACGTACTGGTGCCCCACGGGTGAAGCGGAGGTCTACATTCACATTGGAGTGCGCCCCGACAACCTGCCAGCCGCCCAAGGCCACCGTCAGACCGTGTACGAGGGCGGGTACACTTGCTGGACGCGCTGGATGGAGCGGCAAAACCGACCGTCACTGGATCAAGCGCCCAGATTGTCGCCTCAGCCGCCAACTTCCCATCACGACGTTGTCGCACAGTGTGTGGTGAGGGCAGAAGGTCGGCCCTGACGGGCTCTTGCAGCGCTTAAGTTGAGGACCTCCCCGAAGAAAGTCAAGCGTCCAAGTTAGCCAGTGCAGCAAAAGCCGACTGCGAGCCACAACAGTCGAGGCGGTCGCCAGGTGAAATGCTGCCGGTTGAACCGCAGCAAGTCAAGGTAGCGCAGCGCCTCCGGAGGTATGGGCCGCTGCGACCAGTGGCCTAGACAGCCTCCGTGTGGCTGACCAACTCGGCGCTTCCATGCACCTTTTCCCAAGCGAAGGTTTGTTCTTCCCGCCACCAGTGGAGCACCCAGGTGCATCCAGGTGGCTCGCCTCCCTCCGTCGGAGTGCCCTTCTTGTGCTTTTTTTTTT